CATACCACCCTCAGGGGAAAGGGGTCTGTGAGCACTCTAACTGTACCCTGTTGGGCATGCTCCTGACTCTGGAACGGAGTCACAAAGGTCGCTGGCACCAACATATAGAGGCTGTGTAGTTGGCCTACAAAAACATTGTGGACCAGGGCAGTGGATACATTTCCTTCTTCTTGATGTTTGGGTGTAATGGCCACTTACCGATGATCTCCTGTTGGGTTACCCAGAATGGTCCCAGGATCACACCTCCAGTACATAGTTAGTCAGGCTGAAAAAAGATAAAAGTCCATCCAGTTCAACAAAAAAAAAAAGTTATAATCCTATACCCACAAATGATCCAGAGGAAGGTAAAAAACCATCTGCCATCTGTGATGAACTAAGGGTGAATAACTTATATATAGAGAATATATATAGAGAAAAGGGTGCAGCGCTAATAATTGCAATAAAGCTATATCAACATGAATTGAAAAAAAGTGTGCAATTAATAATCCTATTAGATCATTATTAAGGTTCAGTTTATTGTCCCAAAACCACACAAGAAGTGTGATATACAGATTCTGTCATATCTCCTTTTCAAACCACGATGAGTGATCCACAGGTGGACAAGAAATAAGTGAAATACACACTCACCAGAAGTGCGTTTAAGGTACGCATGAAAGCAAATTCCTCTCTCATCAGGTACATCTGGGTCCTTGGATCACAGGTCAGGCTGCGCTCTCGCTAAACGTCCAACATGGCCAAATTCCCTGGTTCCTCAGACACTTATGCAGCTTTAGGGTCCCTCCTTAAGTTTGGTACTGAAAAGGTTTAAGGGTGAATAACTGTACACCGAGTTAACTATATGAACCACTGATGTATTTATACATGTTGATCATATTCTTAATCTAATCTCCTCTTCTCAAGAGAAAATAAATTCAGTTCCTCTAATCGTTCGTCATAGCTGAGCTCCTCCATGGCTCTTATCAGTTTGGTTGTCCTTCTCTGCACTTTATCCAATTCCCCAATGTTCTTTTTGCGAATTGGTGCCCAAAACTCTACTGCATATTCCAGATGAGGTATAACTAATGATTTGTACAGGGGGTAAAATGATATCTCTCTCTCTGGAGTCTATACCAGAACTCCCAGATCCTTCTCCACCATTGATTCCCCCAGTTGCACTCCCCCTAGTATGTATGATACATGCATATTCTTAGCTCCCAAGTGCATAATCTTACATTTCTCAACATTAAACCTCATTTGCCACAAAGTTGCCCAATTAAACAGTGCATTGAGGACGGCTTGTAAGGACGGTATACAAAGCTTGGTGTCATCTGCAAAGTCTGAAACCGTATTTTTAATCCCAGATCCTATATCATTTATACATATATTAAAAAGTAAGGGTCCCAACACTGAACCTTGGGGTACACCACTTACAACCCTAAACCATGCAGAGTATGAATCATTAACCACTACTCTCTGAATACAATCTTTTAGCCAGTTTTCTATCCATTTATATTGGGATTTTTCCAAGCCCGTAGACCTTACATTACACATTAGCCATGTGTGGGGAACTGTGTCAAACACTTTTGCAAAATCCAAGTATACCATGTCTACAGCCACCCCTCTGTCCAAGGTTTTTCTCACCTCCTCATAAAAAGAAATCAGATTTGTTTGACAACTTCTGTCTTTCATGAATCCATGCTGTCTGTTGCTTAAAAATATTTTTCCAGCAAGAACTCATCTATGTGGTCTTTTATTAAACTCTCCAGTATATTCACAACTATAGAAGTTTATCTAACAGGTCTATAATTACTTGGTAAAGATTTTGATCCCTTTTTAAATATTGGCACCACATTGGCTTTACACCAATCCAGTGGTACTATGGCAGTCATTAAAGAGTCCCTAAAAATTAGAAACAATGGCTTTGAAATGACAGAGCCCAATTCTTTAAGGACCCATGGGTGTATGCCATCTGGTCCAGGTGTTTTATTCACCTTTATTTTGTCTACATATTTCTGGATCATATCAGTTGTGAGCCAATGTGGACCATCTGCAGCTGTGTCAATACCATGCCCATTATGGACAAGAACCCCCCTATGTTCCTTTGTATACACAGAGCTGAAGAAGGTATTTAATAAATTTTCCTTCTCTTTTGTCCCCAGTCACCCACTCTAGATTATTTTGTAAAGGGACTACATGCTCGGACCTGACCTTTTTACTATTAATGTAGTTGAAGAATTTTTTGGGGTTGGTCCTGCTATCTTTTGCAATCTGTCATTCGTTTTCAATTTTTGAAGCCTTGATTTCCTTTTAACATATTCTGTTATATTCTTTGTAATGTTTAAATGATGATAGCGTTCCTTCATTTTTTATATTTAATAAAAGCTCTTTTCTTATTATTTATAGCTTTTTTAAACTTTGGCCATAAGCCACATAGGCTTGATTTTTAGCCTTTTAAACCTGTTGTCCATGGGAATATATTTTGCAGAGTGTTCACATACAGTCTTTTTGAAGAACTCCCATTTCTGTGCTGTGTTCATCGATGCCAATATTCCCTCCCAGTCTAAGTCTTGGAGAGCAGCTCTCAGCCTTGGAAAATTAGCTCTCTTAAAGTTGAGTGTTTTTATTTTTCCTGTGTGTTCTTGTTGTTTGCAGAGAACAATAAATTAAATCGCGTTATGGTCACTGCTACCCGGATGTTCTTTTATATGGACATTAGTATGGACATTAGTAATAAGCGCTGCATTGCTTGAGGACCAGCAGAGAATCATTCCTAGTTGTGGCCTCTATAAAATTGTCCTGTAGTAGGCTTATACATTTTTGCGCTTTAACTGTTCCTGCATTGCCATTACTCTAGTCATTTTCCGGGTAGCTAAAATCCCCCATTATTATCACTGTCCCAGTCCTTGCAGCCCTTTCGATCCGTGCAAGGAATTGAGTTTCCACCTCCTCATTAACACTGGGTGACCTATAACAAACTCCAAGGATTACCTTCACAGTACGCACCCCCATGTGTCAGTTCCACCCATAATGCTTTAGTATCATCACACTATCCATCAACTAGGTCCTCTTTCACACTCTTTCTGACATCACGTCTCACTTAGAGACAGATACCACCACCTTTCTTTTTTACCCTGTCTCTCCAAAAGAGAACAGGAATATTAATGGTCCAGTCATGTGAAGAATGAAGCCAAGATTCAGCAATACCAATTAAATCATAGTTCTCTTCATGCACCAAAGCTTCCAACTCACCTATTTTGCTTGGCAGACTTTTGGCATTGGTGATCAAATACTTTAATTCATTGACACCTTTTGCAAACAGATTTTGCATATTTTTTTATTTTCGTACAAATGGTACCAATTCCAATGGTTGTTTGTAGCATGAGCACATTCTTATCATCTACCATAGCCCTCCCACCATCTTTCCCCATTCCACCCACCAATAAGGACTGATACCTGTATGATCTGTCTGCCCCAATATAATCTAATTCTCCCTCTCCCCTCAATCTTAGTTTAAATACTCCTCCAGCTTTCCCATAAACCTCTCCCCCAACACAGCAGACCCCTTTCCATTTAGGTGCAAACCATCTCTAGCATATAGGTTGCACCCCAATGAAAAGTCAGCCCAGTGCTCTAGAAACCAGAATACTTCCCTTTTACATGGCTGCAGGACCACTGGGAATGGCTACAGAAGGCCAAGCAGGTGGTGGTCGAAAAACACAAAGAATTAACTGAGGACTCAGTCCTAGATGAGTTGCCCTCTACGACTAGGGGACCAGGTGTTGAAATGAATCCAAAGTATGAAAGAGGCAACTAATTGGAGAAAAGCAGCTTTTCCTTCCAAAACCAGTTTCAGAGGGCCCCACCCTCATCAAGCGTCAGCTCAACCGCAACCTACTAGGACCCTGTGTGCTAAGTGAGGATTGCTCTGACAGGAACCAAAGGAATCTAGCGACACCAATATCCCATCTGTACAAGAAGACCCTTATGAATGGTACCTGCCACCCCTCAAACTAGAGCCTCAATCTTCTATGGGTCCTGAAGATGCCAGCCCCAGCTCTGAGTCTATGGACAGTCCAGAACCCGCTGTTCTCCTGGATGCAAGTTCTGCTGATTTCATGGACTCAGCTGAAGCTGCCACTTCTAGCCCAGAGGGAAGAGATGCAGCTGCGTCAACCCTTTGAAGTTGTAGAAGACAAGGACCCTGGCTGTGACCTCACAGAGGACAGTGGGGTCTACCATCCAATTAAATCTTATTGCAGACAATTACCTGCAAATTATTCTGATTATGTGGATTAAAGTGTTATTGCATTAGTATTTACATTGCTGGTGTTTTAGATGGTTCTGTCTTTTGTTCAATGCCAAGGACAGCATCTGTCAAAGAGGGGATGAGTGTAGGTAGGTGCAGTCTATTTCCTCCACTGTAGGTGGCACTCAACCTGAGCGGTAATGCAGCTGGAGGGGAAGTCAAGAGAAGCCTGGTTTCTCTAAAGTTCCTTTGATCCCCTGAAAAACAGCATTCTGGTTGGCTATGCTGCATTCAGATGACCCTTGTGGCCATCTGGAGTTTTTTTTAAGTCCCTAACCCCAGGTTTTGGTGCAAATTGTGTAAGTGGCTAGTGTAGGGAAAGCTCACCCATCTGTCAGGGACAACACTAGTGGTAGGGAAAGGTTCTAGAAGATTAGGGAAGAGTAGAGCCTACACCTACAATTCCGCAAGCTCCCTCTTGGAATTGGACCAGCCACGCCGCACTCCACCTCCCTTGGCAAAAACTTTCTGAAGCTCATGCCTACCACTGATGACTCTTCACTGCACTGACTGTGAGTTCCCGGAAAGGTGTGCCAGCCTGCCAAGCTGCTGTAACCATTCACAAGTTCCTCAATACATCCAACACTTTGCATTGCACTTGGCGATGTAAGGCATGGATGCAGATGCTCAGTCATGGAAACTCATTTCATGAAGCTCTCTACACACTGTTCTTGTGCTAATCTGAAGGCCACACGAAGTTTGGAGGTCTTTAGCTATTGGCTCTGCAGACAGTTGCCCGACTTCTGTGCACTGTTCACTTCAAAATGCGCTGACCCCGCTCTGTCATTTTGCTTGGCCTACCACTTCATGGCTGAGTTGCTGCTGTTCCCAGTTGCTTCCACTTTGTTATAATACCACTAACAGTTGACCGTGGAATATTTAGTAGCAAGAAAATTTCAGGGATGGACTTATTACACAGGTGGCAACCTATCATGGTACCATGCTTGAATTCACTGAGCTCCTGAGAGCGACCCATTCTTTCACAAATGTTTGTTAAGGCACTCTGCATGCCTAGGTGCTTGATTTTATACACCTGTGGCCATGGAGGTGATTGCAACACCTGAATCCAATTATTTGGATTGCTGTCCCAATACTTTGCAATATTTTGAAATTTACTATTCTACTATATTGCATAAAAACTCACACTTGTGTCTTTTTAATGAATGGACTTTGTTGATTGTATTTTATAGTAAACAAATAGGAGGATTTGAAATTATGTAAATGTTGCTAAGGAAGTGTTGCAAGATTTATTTTTACTTTTAATTCCCAACAAAAAAAAAACACAAAGAAATAAACATGTATTTAACCATGTTTGCTACTCTGTCTGTCCCAAAAAAGAAATGTATGATAAGGTAGACTACAAATCTGAAAGATGCAACGTCAAAACCAAGATAAAATGGAAAAAAATTGCTGTGCCAATCAATGGGATTTAGAAATAGACATGGAAACTCAAATGGTTAACAATGCTGGAATTTAAATCTGGAAGTAAATATTTTCTTACTTTTTTAATGGCAGACAGAGATTTCTGCACCCCAAATATGATATACAAATAATGCTTATATTACACAACACTGACAATATTTTCCAACAAGTGCAATGATTGGCTAAGGTCTTGCAATCCAGAACCCAGAGGGTTTTTTTTCAGTGAAGGGTCCCTTATGTTACAGTATCTTCCAAGGTTGATGTAGGCAGCTCCATTAATAAAATCAGAAATTGGAGTCATTAGATGACAGGCATCTGTAAAGCAGCTCTCACTACTACTTTAAACTGACAACTCAAACGAATAGAAATTCTTTTTTGCGGAAATCCAAACTTTTATAGCAAAAATCCTAGTTGCTGACAATACCAAGGATAAATGGCACATTTGCAATTGTTTTGTCTGATGCCTGACCTTTAGGTAAATATAGTCAGCATCTAAAGACATGCAAACAATTTGGCTTGCTGACAAAACCCAACAAAATGTTTATTTTTGCAAAAGGTCACTTTTCTGCCATACTCACCAATTAATTGAAAAAACACACAAGTAGATTTAGATAACTCAAGCAAACTTCATTGCATATTTATATATACTCAAGAAGACTTGAGATTTGTGACATTTCTGCTGTATATATTAATAGGCACTGGACTAGATGTATCAAATTCTGGACACTTGGATACCTTTTTGGTAATTACTGCTGCACTTTACATACTTACCAGCTTTTGATTAATTTGACACAGAAAAAATAAAGCTGCAATTGCCGAGTGGTAATTACAGTGAGCACAGAGGTCACAGCAAATGATAGCACCTGCATTTGCCGGATTATCCTTACAGGACCAGTAGTAATACTGCCATGAATATGGCCTGCTGCATCATATCCTGTTTATGATTGCCTTCTGCAGCCATTTCCCTTGAGTGCTCATTGAATAGATTGGAGTAAAGATCTAAGTGATCAGCCCTGACTGGTTGCTCCATGTTCATTTAAATATATCCCTTGACCTTCTACTCACAATTTATGAGTTTTAGCCCTGACCAGCTGTTCATTGCATATGTAAGTCTCCATCCTTTTTTGTTTGTAGCATAAAGAGAAACTATCTGCTGCTTCGACTGCAGGAGGATTCTTCAAGGATTAATGTATGTGGCAGGAGAATATATATACAACCTTTCACATTTGACCCCACTGAGAGATTTGCACAGCAGATCAGGCTAGGAGTAAAACTCATTGTTCACTCAGCAGCATCTTTTGTACAGCAGTTTCCATTCCCTTTCTAGTAAATCTCATAAAGAATACCCACTCTATTAATTTTATAATTGGTAAGGTACAAAAACAATGTTAATAAATATAAAATAAATAAAAAATGTGATAGTGTAGGTAGCTGCTACAAGTCTCCCAATACCCTATTGGGTAACAGAGCTACCTTAAAGGATACATTCACTTTAAAATAAATAAATAAATGCACATCTTTTTACAGGTGAAAACATGTGCATGTATTATTTTTTTTTTATTGGGAGCATGTAAAGCATTGCACCCACGATCTGCTGACTGTCAGTGCAGGGCTCTTGCAGAATGTTAGCGTAAGCTGTCTGCTCATGCCTCATACCAGAAGACAGTTACACATTGCCAGGAAGCAGCAATGAACTCTCTAGTGTGCTCAAGGGCGCCTTGGTAGTTCATTGAGAACTACAAACCGACAGCTGCAAAGGCTATCGGTACTTGTAGTTCTCCCATTCACAGAACTCTGTGATAGAATAACTCAGCTGGGTGCCTTTTTTAAATTGTGACAGCAGATGTGGGGAGAAGAATCCTGGCCTGTTGTCACAGCGGGGACTCAGGGGGGTGCAGGGGCAGCTGCAGCGGTAACATGTTGCATTTTACACCCTGAATACGAGTGTAACATGTGACATGTTATAAAATGTGAACTTATCCTTTAATATCTTTTATTAAACAAATCAATTTTCTGACAATTAAAAAACCCCTCTATAATAGTCCATAAACAATGTCCATGCTTCTAGACAGTTCCAACATAAATATTTAGTGCCACACAAGGTGTTCCGACAATGTGCTTCAAGATAGTGATGTTCCAGGAGAAAACAGACCACACGGGATTTCACACTATGTTCACCAATGGTTTTGACCCCTTTTGTTAGCAAGTGAGTCAGTGTAGCAGATCATACATGGGTTCAGGCTCATGCAGCTGAAGCTTCCCAAAGGGTCTTCCTCTAGCTCCTCAGTATAGGTAAACCATTGCCTTTAATTATGTCTCAGAAAACTTGTCCTCAATGTATATGCAGAAAGATAGGGGAACCACACATTGTAAAAAGTATGTTTAATACAGTATGAAAAACTATATTGCACTCACATTGCTTAAAACCATCAGTAGCCTTTAGAAACACAGAAATCACCCTCTTCAAAGATGGCCACCACGTGCTCCAGGCTCCTGGAAATGATGTCAGCCAGAAGTACCACCATACACATTTTGTCACCACAATTTGAGGGTGTCCTCCTGGAAAATCACTATCCTGGAGCACATTTTTGGATCACCTTGTGTGGTACTAAATATTTATGCTGAAAGTGTTACGAAGCATGGACACTTATTAGTGTACTAATATAATAGCTTTTTTGAACTGTAATTCCCTTGCCAGAGCCAGCATTACTACATTCTCTCTACACCTCTGTTTTGCACCTATTTCTCATTGTCTTCATTGGCTTTCATCATGGTTCCCCTACACTAACTGTAGTAGCTTTTGTAGCAATATTTCCCACTGTCCAGAATGCTTTCTCTGACAGCTATTCTCCTACTGTGCATATTATGTTTCCTTGCAGTTTTCCTCTTACATCCACATTAGATTCTCCAGAAATTGTCCCCTCACTGTCCACAGTAACTTTACTTGCAGGTCTATCCTTACAGTTTACACTACACTGATTATATCTACACCTGTTCAAGCTTTTTCTATTGTACAGTACCTTAACTCTGATCTCTCTGACTGCCGCCTTTTTCCTGGTGTTGTGTTTCAATTTTGTGTTTCAGTCTATTTGACATCCATGTTCTTCATTTTCCACATCACTGACCTTTCTGTATTTTGTCTCCAAATTTAGTTCGTACTATTGGTTGTCAATGTGGAGGAAAATTTTGAAATGTTTCCATCTGCCTTTTCAAAAATATGAGCCCTGACTGTGCTAAGACTTTTCCTTTTGCAATAAAGCTTTATCTCCTTTCACTAACCCCTGTCCCTTTGCTGAAGGTAGGTCATGGTCTATGCAAAGAGTTGCACCATCACTTCACACTTAGGCTCCGTTTACATCAAATCCAATTTTGAAATCGTGCGACTTACAGTGAAGTCACATGATTTCAAAATCGGGTGAGATCGCAATTTCCTTGCGATTTGCAAGACATATGACACAGATGTCTATGCAAATCGCAACAAAAGTAGTACATGTACTATTTTTGAAATTGGTACGGCTCTGACCAAGTCAAAACCGCACCGATATGACCGCTCTGATAGCGGACAATAGGGTGCGACTTAACATGCAATTTGCAAGTCTCAGGGCATGCAAATCGCATGCCAAGTTGCATCCAGTGTGAACCAGCCCTTAAGGGGAAAGTATAAAACCATGTTCATACATGACCATTTAAATAATAACTAGATTCAAAAATAATTTTTCATGTTGTGTGCAAGCATACCAAGTAAAGAACGTGAACGTGAAGAACGTATAACTTTTAAAAGGAATTACAATACCCGGCCTGACAATGCCTTCATCTACCATCTTCCAAGAAAGGCTAGTGGAATATTTGTTCAGCTCTTATTCAGCATCAGCACCTGCTTCATGATCACCTTCCATTCTGTCTTCCTCCCTTATCCAGCCACTATCGTTCTGATTCTTGCTTGCCCATACAAGCTACAGTTTGGTCCTACACTGACTTCTTCTAATCAAAATCATCTTCTCCTTTTCCACTAAATGTGATAAGTTGTTGTTCTGCCTACATTCCAAAAGGTCAATAATCACCTACCTATCATCTTTTCCTGCCAGCCATGATTAGCTCCCACTTTGCCTCCTATACACTTCCCCCATTAGTACCTGCACTGCATTTTGTCCCAGTACAACACTGTTAGCTTTGCACCATCAGTTGTACTCACTCTTGTTTCCCCTCATCAACATTACATTTCTGCTTTATCTTCTCTTTTGCTTGTCCATGATCAGCTCCTCCCCTGGCAATGAATATCTTCAATTCTGCCACCCCAATCATGCTCAACTTCTTTAATCTCATAGCAGTCTATGATCAACTTAAACCTGGCAACCTATATATCCTTGTGTATGATTATTTCACAATCTGCTTCCCTTTATTCTTTGCTGTTGTGCCTCTCACTCTTCCACATCTCTTGCCCCCCCCCCCAACCCCCTGTCTATTTGCCTTTTACAGTATATGCCCCTTGATCCACAAGTTTAAATTTATCCTCTTTTATGCCCCTCTCCTATTTCTATTCTACCTCGTCTTTCTTCCTTTAGTGTTCATGAACAGATATCACCCAGCCTTCACCAGCTCCTACGAACAGCTTATGATCTGTCTAC